GCTCAGAGAAGCATCACTTAGGTTTAGTGTGCTCTGTGCAGGCTGGGAGGCCAGCTTCCATTATTTTTCACTTGTGCTTGCCACACTCTGTTTACTTTCACAGAGGAATTTGGGATGGTGGTGAAGGATTGGAGAAAATAAAATGAAATAGAAATATGAGAGCCGGCGTGACGGCTCACTAGCCTAATGCTCCGCCTTGCGGCGCCGGCACACCGGGTTCTAGTCCCAGTCCGGGCGCCAGATTCTATCCCGGTTGCCCCTCTTCCAGGCCAGCTCTCTGCTGTGGCCTGGAAGTGCAGTGGAGGATGGCCCAAGTGCTTGGACCCTGCACCCCATGGGAGACCAGGAGAAGTACCTGGCTCCTGCCTTCGGATCAGCGCGATGCGCCGGCCGCAGCGCACCGACCGCGGCGGCCATTAGAGGGTGAACCAACAGCAAAAGGAAGACCTTTCTCTCTGTCTCTCTCTCTCACTGTCCACTCTGCCTGTCAAACAAAAAAAAATAATAGAGAAATATGAGATATAATTTGAACCAAAGCAGCCTTAAGAAAGATAGACGTGGCTTCTTGGCCTCTTTGCTAAGATCAAGTGTAAAAGGGGAAGACATTTGGAAACAGTGTTTGAAAGTCATTGTTATAGAACCTCACTTTGAAGCACACCTGTGCCAGACCTCTTCAAGGAAGTCAGTAAGAATAGCTACCCTTTTGTATCTAAAGGGAGAATTTTTAGCCTAAAGTTGATTTTACTGGCTAAAGAATGCTGAGTGCTAGATTTCTGACCAGGTAGGTCAGGACAAACTAGTTCTTAAGGAAAAACCAAAGATGTCCTAAAATGATCATGAAAGCATAAAGATCAAGAAAGCTATGGAAGTGCCAAAGAAAGGAGTTTCAGTAAAATAACATGATCTTTCTCAGACTTCCACCCTTTTCGAGGCCATAAAAGACAGCTTCATTTGAAAATACTTTGGATTTCTTGTAGGTCACTTTTTTAATACTTAATAAAGTGAAATGGGGTAACACCCACTGTAAAATCTATTCTTCTAAATTAATAACATGATCCTTTGCTATTGAGGCTATACTTTTGTCACGTTTGCCTTTTGTATACATTATTTTGGGATAAATAGGGAAGGAATAGTGCTCAGCACATTGAGAAATAGGTTAAGATACATGCAGATGTCCCAGGGTTGGTTCTTTCTTTCTCAGTCTCCTCTCCACTTCACTTTTTTGTTCACTTGCTTATTTTTTTAAATCTGGGAAAATATTATATATGAAGATCAGTGAGAGATTAGATTTTTTTTCCCATCCTTTTGGTCTTCTACAGTTTATCCTCTGAGCATTTATAAATGAAGTTCTAGCACTTTAATTACACATGATATAATATATCTCAGTTAATCATGTAATTATAGCTGTGCCTACACGGGAAATTTGAGTTTCTTATTACAATACTGAAAACATTTGTATGATTCAGTTTGAAACCACCTTATGTTCTCATTCTGTGCTTTTATAACTGATAAAATGTAGACTTACCTGAAATGTGGACAAAGGGAAAACAAGAGATTTATAGGGAGGTAATGAAGCAAGAGTCAAAGGAATTGTTTTGTGGTATGCGCTGAGAAGGACTGTTTAGAATAGCTGTCCCAGGGAGAATCACACATGTCTCTGGAAGCCCTTGGGAAAACGGCTTACTTAAGCTTGTTATATTTTAGTTTCACAGTAAAGATTTTAAATGCAGTCTTTTAATAAATAAAACAAGGCTGGCGCTGTAACTCAATAGGCTAATCCTCCACCTTGCGGTGCAGGCACACTGGGTTCTAGTCCCGGTTGGGGAGCCAGATTCTGTCCCGGTTGCCCCTCTTCCAGGCCAGCTCTCTGCTGTGGCCTGGAAGTGCAGTGGAGGATGGCCCAAGTGCTTGGGCCCTGCACCCCATGGGAGACCAGGAGAAGCACCTGGCTCCTGCCTTCGGATCAGCACGGTGCGCCGGCCGCAGCGGCCATTAGAGGGTGAACCAACGGCAAAAGGAAGACCTTTCACTCTGTCTCTCTCTCTCACTGTCCACTTTGCCTGTCAAAAATAAAAAATAAACAAATAAAACAAATTTCAAATAACAAATTAAGACCTTAATCATTATAGACTTAAAGATACCCCTCCAGTAGGAACTCTGAGTGCCACCTGTTTGTGTGTAGCTGTTCACGAGAATCAGTAGAAGGTGTTATTTCCTGTCTTGCCTCTTCCCAGCCAGTCCTGTTTATTGAACAAGACAGTGAATTCATCTTCTTTCCTCCAAGTCCAGATGTTGTGGGACCTCAGAGGCTGTAGTACCCATAGTTCTCCCTAAAAGGCCACCCAAACCTGTGTCATTCAAACTTGAAACCTGATTCTTTTCCTAAACTGATTGCATCCAATTTGGGGTCACTGATTTTTCCCCCAAAGAAACCTTTTATTTAATGAGTACAGATTTCATAAGTACAACTTTAGGAATATAGTGATTCTTCCCACCATACCCTCCCCCACCCCACTCCCACTCCCATCCCACCCCCTCCTCCTTCTCCCATTCCCAGTCCCATTCTCCATTAAGATTCATTTTCAATTAACTTTATATATAGAAAACCAACTCTATACTAAGTAAAGATTTCAATAATCTGTACACATACATATACACACACAAAAAAAATGAGAACCAGTTTTATAGTTAATTCTCATACAATTCATTGAGGACAGAGGTCCTGCAAGGGAAATAAGTGCACAGTAACTCATGTTGTTAATTTAACAATTAACACTCATATATGACATCAGTGATCACCCGAGGCTCTTGACATGAGCTGCCAAGGCTATGGAAGTCTTGAATTCACACTCTTCATCAGTATTTAGAAAAGGCCATGAGCAAAGTGGAAGTTCTCTCCTCCCTTCAGAGAAAAGTACATCCTTCCTTGATGGCCACTTCTTTCCACTGGGGTCTCGCTCACAGAAATCCTTTATGTAGGATATTTTTTTGCCACAGTGTCTTGGCTTTTCATGTCTGAAATGCTCTCTGGGCTTTCAGCCCAGAATGCCTTAAGGGCTGATTCTGAGGTCAAAGTGCTATTTAAAGTGATTGCCATTCTATGAGTCTGCTGGGAGTCACTGATTTTGATTTAATTATGTGTGATTCCATAGTTCAGACAAAATGGTATTGTAGTATATCAGTTTTTTTCTTAAGTATAAGATAATTAGCCTGCTCCACCTTCACATCTCTTATGTTACAGTCACTGCTTTTGTTTCCCCAAGTTTCTACCATAGAACCTGCTTCCTAAACTGCTGTTTAATTAAACATCTTCTTGGTTGGGGTAACTGACAAGGAGTAGATTTAATTCAATGCATGCATGACACAGACAGTCCAATTTTAGAACAGCATGCCAGGTGTCCCACAATTAACATTTGTTCATGAAAATGTCCCTGGATGTGGGATTATTTTTATTAAAGTGTTCTTTTGATAAAGCTGTTCTGTTATTAAACTGCTAAAAAATAATAATAAATAAATGTTTTGATATTAGAAAAAAATGAGCATTTGGTAAAAATGATGTTCCCAGCAACACACATTGAGTTCATATGTTGGTAACTGGAATTATTTGTTGAATAACATTTCTTGTTTAAAAAAAAAATACTTATTTGTTTGAAAGGCAGAGTTGGGGCCGGCACTGTGGCATAGTGGGTGAAGCCACCGCCTGCAGTGCTAGCATCCCATATGGGCACTGGTTCAAGTCCCGGCTGCTCTACTTCTTATACAACTTCCTGCTATGGCCTGGGCAAGCAGTGGAAGATGGCCCAAGTCCTTGGACCCCTGCATCTGCATGAGAGACCTGGAGGAAGCTCATGGCTCCTGGCTTCTGATGGCCCATTTGGGGAATTAACCAGCAGATAGAAGACCTCTCTCTCTCTCTCTCACTCTCTCTCTCTCTCTGCCTCTGCCTTTCTGTAACTCTGCCTTTCAAATAAATAAATGAATTTTTAAAAAAGAAAGAAAGGCAGAGTTACAGAGAGAGAAGGAGAGACAGAGAGATCTTCCATCCACTGGTTTACTCCCCAGATGGCCACAGTGACTAGGGCTGGGCCAGGAACTTCAACTGGGTCTCCCACATGGGTGCAGGGACCCAAGCACTTGGGCCATCTGTTGCTCTCCCAGGCACATCAGCAGGGATCTGGACTGGAAGCAGAGCAGCTGGGACTTGAAACGGTGCCCCCATGGGATGCTGGCATCACAAGTGGAGGATTAACTTGCAGTGCCCCTTGTTGAATAATATTTCTACACCTGTGAGTCTGTGGACCCACTGCTCTGCAGTTCTAATAATAGAAAAGGCTCTTAGCATAGCATATGCAGAAGGGCTACTGAGTCCAGCAGTGCCATGATAGATTGTCACACGGCCATGAGGATAAGTTAGTCTCCTGTTGCACCTCAGTCTGCTCCCACACTCACAGTTGGGTGTTCGATACCTGAAGAAAGAGTGCACTTGAACTAGCACTAGTTCAAGGTACAGCCACCTTGAGAGACTGATGGCAGGTTCCTCAGAACTTTTGAAACTGAGAGATCATGGTGTATGTCACTTATCACAAAATCTGCAGTAGAATCAATTGTTTAAAAAAAAAAAAAAAAAGAGCTGTTTCCTAGAAAGTAAGTCCCAGTTTATAAACTTGAGATTTCCATCCCAAAATTCATGATAAAATTATTAACATGGCTTCATCCATGTTTTCAGTTGAATCGGCTTTAGTGGAATGTATGGGAAATCCAGCCCCCATGCAAACATTGCCACTGGGGTAGCTTCTCTCCTTTCCACGTGCCACAACTAAGGCGGGAAGTTGAGGAACCAGTCCCACTTACGGAGACTCTTGGAAGGATCCCATTCAACTCTCCCATGCACCCCGACTGGCTGCTTCTAACTACACACTCACCAGGGGGATGTTTGTCATTCCAGCACGCTGACCTATTTGAAAACAGCAGAAGCCAGGGTTACACTAATTTCTGTTTAGCTTCCTCTCCAGTCCCAGCAACCCCCATCCTACAGCTGGAGGAATGTTGCACCCACAACAACAGTGCTACACTGTCCTGGAAACAGCCGCCCCTGTCCACGGTGCCCGCAGAAGGATACATTCTGGAACTGGATGACGGCAGTGGTGGTCAGTTCCGGGTGAGTCAAGAACCTGCTCTTTGTCAAGCCAGAGGATGTGCCCTGGAGCCTGGCTTCCCCACTATCCTTGGGATGGGTATCCTGGTGGACCCTGCCTGCCCTTCAGCTGAGGGCCTGCTTTCTCTTGTGCCATCAGAGGTGTCTGAAGTGTCCTACTCTTCTTAACAGCAGTAGGAGCAGCACTGCAGACTCTGGGCTAGACTGGTCCCTGCACTTTGCTCTGGGCTAGACTGGTCCCTGCACTTTGCTCTGGGCTAGACTGGTCCCTGCACTTTGCTGGGTGACTGGCCTGCTCTTACCTTTTGGGGGGGGCCTGGTAGCAATCATATGGGTATGCTTACCAGTTTATGATCTGTGTGCATGACTGCCTGTCCCTGTGTGTCTGCTGTTCTCTCATCCACACTACCTCCTTCTCACCCACCCTCTCCTCCCACCTTGCTTTCTATCTGCACCACCCCACTCTTGCCTGAGTTTTTTTTTTTTTTTTTTTTTTTTTTTTTTTTTGACAGGCAGAGTGGACAGTGAGAGAGACAGAGAGAAAGGTCTTCCTTTGCCGTTGGTTTACCCTCCAATGGCCACCGACGGCAGCCGGCGCGCTGCAGCTGGCGCACCGCGCTGATCCCATGGCAGGAGCCAGGTACTTCTCCTGGTCTCCCATGAGGTGCAGGGCCCAAGTTCTTGGGCCATCCTCCACTGCACTCCCTGGCCACAGCAGAGAGCTGGCCTGGAAGAGGGGCAACCGGGACAGAATCTGGCGCCCCGACCGGGACTAGAACCCGGTGTGCCGGCGCCGCAGGTGGAGGATTAGCCTATGGAGCCGCAGCGCTGGCCCTTGCCTGAGTTTTCTCCCCTGCACACTCTGATGCCTGAGACTTCCAGGCAGAGGAGTGGCTTTTCTTTGTAGTGAGGCCACTCCCTGCACTGCAGAAGATGGGGCCCCTGTCCAAGAGCAGACCCCAGCCCATGAGGACCAGGCTTTCTTCCGGCCGTCAGTGGCCACCCCCACCACTAGTCCTCCAGAGAAAAGCCTGTCGGCTCCTTTTCCTGACCGTGGCTTTGGTCTTCCAGTAGCTGTAAGTGCCTGAGGACTGGGGCCAAGTTTGCAGCTCTCCTCCAGGACATAGGCTCCCTTTCTGGATGGGGAGGCCTTATTGACATAGGTGTTGATTTACTGGCTGACGAAATCAAGGTCCTCCCTCTGCAAGACACAGATCTCAGGTTCCATTTCAACTGGTGTCTCTTGTGCTGTGTGTGTGTGTGTGTGTATGTGTGTAAACTCCTGTCCGTCTGTTTCTCATCCCTGACTTTGCCTTTTCAGCTCATTTCATTTCAGGGCCTTTCTTTTTCCATTATTATTATTATTATTATTATTATTATTATTTTAGGCTAGAAAACTCATTCTCCTGGCTTTCCTAAGTCACTAAATAAATAAATTCCCTTATTTTGTCCCAGCGTTTTCTTCCCAACCGCTACCTACGTGCGTGTCCTAGGCGTCAGCTGGGGCGTGGTTCCCATCCCTTCCCCTCCCACTTCTCGCCCCCTTTGCACTGCCCACTCTCTAGTCCAGCTCTCTCAATCATATTTCTCCTCTAAGAGTCTGACCTAGAAATGTCCTGAAACTGCCTTCAACCCTACATGCCTTAAAATAAACCCATAATTTTCTTTTAAAACCTAATCCTGCCTTTTCTACATCCTGGTTGTCCTTATTTAGATATCAGACTCAGAGTCTTAGCACCATCTGCCTACTTCTTCCTCCCGGAGCACCAATTAACACTAAAGAAGTCCCTGCATCCCATCGATTCTTCCCAGTCATCTGGATCCCTTCCTCTTAGTCCACAGGCTACCATGAAAAAGTGCAACCACCCCTCTATGCTCCTAGCCTGAGCCTTCAGGTTGTTCCTTGCTGGACCATTCAAAGAATAGTCTTCCCCTACCCGGAACTTGTTAAAAATGTAAAATCTCAAACTCCACCCCAGAAACCTACAGGATTGGAAAGCAAATGTTGATCCTCAGGTGATTCATACGCACCTAAATTTTGAGAAGCTCTGAGTGAGAGGGCGCGATATTCAAACCTGTGTTACGTCGGAAATTAGGAAGGAACGGCTGGGCGACCCAGGCCTCCAGTTTTATTAGTACCCCACCAGACAGTTGTCCCTTTAAGGCTGTGCTTTGAATGCAAATCACTTCCAGTCATTACATCAGCATAAATTTTGCAAAGTGTACAGCTAAAGAGGGAAGCAAATGCCTAACCTATGCTGAAGATGCATTCTGCTCAGATTTATTTTAAGCCGTTGAAATGTCATTCTCCCTCCCTTCCCTGTTTTCTCCCCCTTCCCTCTGCACTGTGATGGAAACCTGCACCCTGTGGCTCTGAGTGTAACCTTTGTGGCAGTGCCCAGAGTTATCTGCGGAGCTGCCAAAACACACAGAGACCACCCTCGTGTTTTCATGTTTTTGAACATGTTTTTTAAAAACCATAACAATGGATAAAGAGCACCCGTAGGTGTAATATCCTTTTCAAATACCAAGTTACTATTCATAAGCCTAGTCCTAACTATAAGTACCTAATTTTAATTTTTTAAGCCCCGTCTGCTAATAACTTCCGTTCATTAAAGCTGCAAGGACCATGCTAAATACCAAGTACCAGGCTGTATGCATTTAAGTTTAAATAATGCTCATACCAAACTCGGAAGGTGCCCCCATTTTGCATAACAGGAAAGGAAAATCAAATAGCCCAGTGTCTCACAGGACTCAACCCTGATCAGGCTAATGCCAGAGCTGTTGACCCTGACCCTGGCTCTCATCAGAGTTTATTTTAAGCGGGTTCTGTTCCTTTCTTGGCCCTCAGGAAGTGTATGTGGGAAAGGAGACAATGTGCACCGTGGATGGCCTTCACTTCAACAGCACATACAACGCTCGAGTCAAGGCCTTCAACAAAACAGGAGTCAGCCCGTACAGCAAGACCCTGGTCCTGCAGACGTCCGAGGGTAAGGCCCTTCAGCAGTGCCCCTCAGAGCGAGAACTGCGTGGCATCTAGAATGGCTGGCAAGCCCGGAGGTAACCCCAGCAGTGCCCGCATTCCTCAAGTGTTTTCCATGACTTGCTCTGCACTCTGGCACAGAGCTGCTGTTCCTCTCCTGCCTTTAGAGAGCCCGTGGGATGTGGATGTGACCCAACCAAAGCTTCCACATCGGCAGTTGCAATGGCTCGGGCCGGCGGCTTCCTTGGGTAACATTCTAAATAAGCTGCAGTTGAAGAAGCTGAACAGTGAAGGCCTGAATGTGTCCTGGTGTCTCAGACGAATGTATCTAGGCCCTAGAGCAGGCTCCCATTCTCCACCGATACACATCGCTTGCCAGTTCTGCCCAGACGATTCTAAATGGCTCTGTAGCAAGAGCTTGTTCCTGAGGGGGGTGGGACCTAGGATCCTGGCAGCTGTGGATTTGTGTGACTGAATGTGTTGCAAATGGGTGAAGGGTGCTGGAGCTGATCCGAGAGGTCCCGTCAGCCACTCTTGGCCCAACCAGCTCGGACTGCATCCATTTCCTCCCCAAAGCCGAGGCCATTGGCACCAACAGGAAGAAACCAGCAACTCATTACCTCGCCATTTTCACCTATGCCAGTCCCTCTAGTCTCAGTGAGGCTGCCTAGGGCCACTGTGCAAGGTTAATCTCCGAGAACTTCTGCTCCTTGGCTACACTGTACAAGCTTTGGCCTTCAGAGATAAGTGATCCCATCACAGATGAGATGCTGAATTTGATGGCCAAGTATAACCTCTGAGGCTTTTAACATTTTCACTTTAAGAGCAATGGCACCGAGGAAATTAAACCCGTGAAGAGACGTTTATGCTGGTGCCAAAGCATTTTGAGACCTTGAGGGTGTCATTTTAATCATAGAAATCACACCCCCACTGGCATTCTGTATAACTTCCTTCTGCAGAACTAATTATGGTGATTTTGTTCAAGTTCAAGATGTTAGCTAAAAGAACTGGGATGGTGTCTTTTTATGCTTCCCACAAACCTCAGCATATGCCAGTCACCCCTAAAAATGGTTCACATGGTTAAAAACAAGCACAATTTCAAATACCATGGCAGGGGCAAAATACCCCTGGCCGTGAAGACGATGCTTTGGGGAGCGGTTGTTGCTCTATGAGTGATGCTATTCCAAGTCAAGCATTTGCTAAAGAGAAAATGCCCACCCATTTGGATCATGGTAGCACGGTAGCCAGACTTCCCCTGGATAATCATTTGGGCACCTGTTCTCTGGGGTGACCTATCTTTTGAGAGCTGTTGTCTCTTTCCCCAAAACGCCGTGCTAAATGCTAAAGCCCTCTGTGAGGTTTTCCTAGGTGCCGTGCGGAAGGTACTTGATGGCGATGGCCTCGTTTCCTGTGTGTGTACAGGTTTGATTGAGGAGTGAAGTGCATGCCCGCAGAGCAGAGAGGAATCTGCAGCCATGTTGCTAATATTGTGTCATCAGACCCACAGGAAGACAATTTCCATCCATAATACATCGTGAGAATCGTGCTATTAGCTAAGATCACTTAGTAGCATAGCAGCCTGAGTGCTTAGGATGTAGTCTCTCGGTTTCTTTTCATGTTCATAAGATTATGGTGTTTAATTTAATAAATTGCAGGATTGGAACTGCGATCCTTGGTACCACAGTCACAGAATTGGGGGTCATTTTCTAAATGAAACTAATGGAACAAGTTCTCTTCCAACAAAGAAACTGTACTGTAGAAATTAATTTCTTCCATGAATTTTATATATTGTGTACAAATATAAGGTATGTATTCAATACAAAGAAAACTCTATCATCATGTAGATATCAGTATTCTCTGTTACTGCACAGAAATGATTTTCTCATGATGAAATAAAGTTCACATACATACTTTCTCCATAACCTTGGTTTGTTCTATTTGTTTCTCCCTCACTCTAACTCATCCAAACAGTGAGACAAGATTTAGAAAGCAAGAAAAAATATATAGCTAATAATTTATTTTTGAAAAGATTTTATTACTCTGTAATGATAGAAAAAAACCTATAAAATTAAATAATTATATCCCTTTTTGTTTTGTAGAACTCAGTGAGAAAAAAGCTATTCACAGAATCTTTATATATTCACTGTGCTTCTATTTTATTAATCTTGTTTCCTACAGTTCTTGGAAAGGTTTGCTCTAGAGATGCTTGTTCTTTGCTGGTCTCGGGGGTTGGTGGGGTGGCTCATTCTGGCTTTCTACTATAATGAAACCTTTCATGTTCTTCTTAGTGAGTTAACTGCTTTCTAAAGCGCAAGACAAAATGTATCACAGAAGAGTACAATTTCGCATGCAATGGCAAGTCTAACTTGTTATTATAAGCATGTTGTCTGAGTTTAAATCACTCATCATGTACATTCTTTTGGAATGGTCTCAAAACCTCCTGCCAACCTAAGATTGCCATTATGTGAGCGACATCACATATCTACAGTATGAACTCTGATTTTTTTTTTTTCAAAAACAGATATATCTCTCTGTCTCTCTCTCTCTCTCTGTCTATTGGACAGGGCTGGATAAGTACCTACTCTATACTGTCCTGTGAGTACAGAGAAGAGACACAGCCCTGCTGTCACGGAGCTCACAGCTGAGAAGATAGACAGACCTGGAGCCAACAGTTCCCTACTTACAAATAGCAATGAGCACTGTGAAAAAGGGAAGAGGATCCCCAGGAATATACAATTTTTTTGTAGACTTGATCAAGAAAATAATGAAAAGCAATGTAATCTAACGGAAATGAGAAAGGCTGTGTCATTAGAAGAGAAAAGGAAAATGTGTTATTATGTGAGTTCAAGCTGGTTAGTTCCTTGAGCATGAAGTTCCTGCAGCTGTATCTGTGGGCGTCACGCACACAGGCCTGTTGCAAAATTACCCTGACTTAGAGATAAATATCACTGAAGGTAGTTAAGAATTTTAAAGACTTAAAAGAGACTCACAGAGTCATAGCTGTATGTATCTTTAAAATAATTCATTGAATGGCCATTCATGGCTGTGCTCAGTCTTTGAAACCATCTGCAGAATAGTATCTGTTGCAAACATCCTGTAAGAAGGCCTCTCAATACATAAAGTTCTGAGGCTCATTCTGTGTGACAGACTACACTCCTACCAAAAAAAAAAAAAAATCAGCAAGGCTGACAACAGGAGATGAAATTTTCTGTTTATATTTCCCTAGTTCCCCCTTAAGCAGATTGTGCCTCTTTAAAAAAAAAATCTGGAGAGAACAGGCAATATAAAAAAGGTAATATTCCTGGGTCTCACCTCACTGAGGGCCTGTACCCCTTGGACCCTCACAGGGCTGGGACAATGGCTGCAGACAATGTGCACAGCAGAGGTGCAGCCTCCACTCACCAGGCCTCCGGGGGAGTAGGGCTTGGAGACTTGCAGTCTCTACTCTTTAGCACAGCTATGTGTGTAAAAGGGTTATTTCCCTTGGGCAGATTCTTGCTGAGCTAAAGCAGACGAATGTTTTTAAGACCCTTGATCAGTGTTCCAGATTGGTTTCCAGGTAGATTTTTACCCCAGGAATGAATGAGCCATTCCATTTTATCGCATCACCTTAACTCTATCATTTAGTTTAATTTCAACTATCAAGTAGGCTCTTCTAAAAAGAAAAATGTTGCTAATAGAGTTGTTTTAATTTACTTTTTCATAGAAGTACTATTCTGATTTTTTTTTACGTCTGATAGTTGCATGAAACAAGTTACAACATACTGCAGGGGAAATGAACTTGACCTGGGTGGAGGGGGGATAGTTCCCAAAGAAAACAGGGGGAATAACTGTCTGAAAGCCAAAAGCTGAATGCAAGGCAGAAACTTCAACATCCTGCCGTAAGCTGATGGTGAAAAGAAATTTTAGTGACTCAAATGCGTTAGCTGAGCACCTCTGTTACATCAGGTACTGGCTTGGGCCCTGGGATCACAGGATGCAAGAAGCACAGGATGCAAGAATTTAGGGGGCTTTGCTCCTCTTCTTTCCTAAGCTTCACTGTGCCTTCCTCAGATTCCCTAAAAACTATGGTCCCACCCTGCAGTCTAGATTGCCACCTTGCAACCTGGAAGTAAGAACAGTGGCCTCTGGGTTGGCACAAAAATAAAAGTATAAGACACCAAGCACAGGCACGGAAGCCCTGTCCCAGCCTCAGAGCAGCACCCTGGGTCTCACTCGGTTATGCGCAGTTGCACGGAGCATAACTGATAGATAGCTTCCCCGGAGGAGAAGGAAGAGAGGTTGTGAGAGACGTGAGCCGAGGCTGTTGGTAGCATTAACCAAGGGAGGTAACTGGAAGCAATGAGAAAAGACCCCACAAAACCAAAAGAGAGCATTCTATGGCACTTATTCAGAGGAAGGCAGTCAGAACGTATATAATCCATTGGGGAATGATTGCCACCCAAAACATTTAATTCAGCACATGCCCTGGAACTCTTGCTGTGGGAGGATCAGGCGAATCTCAGAAGACATTATGGAACCCCAATATGAAATCAGCCCAAACAAAGTATTGTAGTAAACCTTCCTCATTTTTATGGCACACAAGTAAGAACTTTCTTCATTGTCCACCAAAAGGGTCCATGAAAACTGACAGTAACATAACAGCCAACAAATAGTTTAAGGATGCTGAAACCCAGTGGTGACATCATATGAAAACCCTCCATTCCATGGTTCATCTTAAGTGCCTACAGAAAAAGAGGGTGGGATGTTTTTCTGCCCACCCTGACAGTTTAAAGAATACAGAGTACACACAGCAGGCGCTGCCCTGTGTGACCCTCTCCCCTGCTCTAGTACTGCAGCATTTCAGATTTACCCGATGCATCATTGTCCTACTGCTGCTGGGACAAATGACCACCAGCGCAGTCAGAGTCCTCAATGGTTGCACTGGCCTGGGGTTCCTTCAGCAGCCGCTAGGTGGAAATTTCTTTTCTTGGCTTTTCCAGCGTCTAACAGGCACTTGCATTCTTT